ATAATATTCACAGATACTCAATAACTATAATTCCTTTGATTTTTCAATTATGTGAGGTATATACAACATATAAAGCATTTGAAACACTGATGATTGAATAGAAGGTGAGAGGGGAGAGAGAGAGAGAGGGAGGAGGGAAACAGTGAATGAGTCAAAGTCAAAACACTTATTTCCATTATTTGCAATGGTTCTTCTTTGTTCATAAGCAGTGACAGTGTACAGTAATGTAAAATAACTAAAGATAATATCAAGTTCATTCTTAGGGGAATTATAAAACAAGATCAAATAAACTGGCCACATCATTAGAAATACAGGTACATAGTTTGGCATTACATCTAATTATTTGATGTCATTGGCAATTCAAAAGATGCTTCTTCAATTTCCTTTTGAAAGTAATCAGATTGGAGATGTTTCTTTTTTTTTTCGTTTGTATATTTCCGAGAGAGAAAGTGAATGAAAGAGAGAGCGGGAGAGGGAGACAGAGGGTGGTTGTGCAGTCATATTTATTCATATTGCCGAGAGAGAGAGAGAGAGACACATTCGATTTTATACGTTCTGGATGTGATTCCCACAGCGCCGTGTCTAGACAGGTGTAGGACAGTTTCACCGCACCTTTTGCGCCTGGCAACGGCATACCCACTGGCCAATAAGTAATCTGTGACGTCACTCTCCTAATACCTTGATGTCCCAGATTTGGGAAAAAGATAGCCAATTATCATGATATAATCATTTTCATTATTATTATTATTATCATCATCTTTGTTATTCTTTTCATTATTATTATTATTATTATTGTTATCATCATCTTTATTCTTATTCTTATTATCATTATGACAATAATAATTATCGTGATTATTGTTATCACCATTATTATCAATATTATGCTTATAATTGTCATTACTAATATCATTATTATCATTATTGTTATTTTTCTCACCATTATCACGATCACTAAAAGCATTATCATCGTTGCCATCATCATCATACTACCATCATTCTATATTCCGTTTCATCCCAAAGATTATTACAGTTACTAAGCCTGCGTGTTCGTCCTTCTGCAGCTATACCTATGGGCAGCCAGTCAAGGGCAAGATGACACTCGAAGTCTCCAACAATGAGCGAAGACGATGCCTATCCAAATACAAGAGAACTGTACTGGTGAGTTCTATTTATTATATGTATTTTTTGTATCTCCTTTTGACCTTTTTTGTTGTTTTTTGTTGGTCTGATGAATCAGCAGTATTTTCTTTTTCGAAATTAATTTCTTCATTACTGATAAACAGATTTTGGTTATGTATTACAAGAAAAAATGTGCAAATAAAGTCGCAAAGCAGCACTGTACTTCCCTTCCAAACTGCCTTTTCATCTGCATAATTCCATTCTAAACACCATTTCGTCTCTGTAATTCTATTCCAAACCACTTTTTTCCTCTATAATTCTATTGTGAATTATAGAGGAAAATTATTGTGAATTATTTTCAAAATAGCCTTTTGGTCTCCGTAATTCTACGGAGTGCCTTTTCATCTGCATTTTGGAACGCCTTTTCATCTCTGTAGTTTTGTTCTGAAGAGCTTTTTTGTCTTTGCAATTCTATTCTGAACCACCTTTTCGTCTACTATCTTATTCCAAACACCTTTTTTCTCTGAATTTCTATTCCAAACCACCTTTTAGTCTATGTATTTCTATTCTGAACTGCCTTTTTGTCTCTGCAGTTCTATTCCAAAAATCTTTTCTTCTCCGCAATTCTCTTCCAAACCACCTTTTCGTATCTGGAAGTCTGTTCTGAACTGCCTTTTTGTCTTTGAATTTATATTCCAAACCATCTTTTTGTCTATGTAATTCTATCCTGAACTTCATTTATTCGAAATTACATTGATATTGGTGGAGGAAGATAAAAACGGGACCATGCAATTACTATGCGAATCAACGGTTGGAGATCGTTGATTATGTCTGAGCGGTTCTCCAATATAATTAACAGGTCTTGTGGAGAGATGAATATGATGGTGCCCATTTGTGAATGGTTGGTTTTGAAATTTCCCTCAGGTGTGGTTTGAGGTAGTATTTAACCCCAAAATTCCCAAAGGCCTTTGTGTCTCTGTAATTCTATTCTGAACCACCTTTTCGTCTCTGCAGTTTGTTCTGAACTATTTTTTGTCTCCACACTTCTATTCCAAACTGCTTTTTCGTCTCTGCAATTCCATTCCAAATACCTTTTTGTTTCTACAATACTATTCTGAACCGTTGTTTCGCCTCTGTAATTCTATTCCAAACCACCCTTTCGTCTTTAGGATTCTAATCTGAACAATTTCTCATCTCTCAAATTCTATTCTGAACCATCTTTTCCTCTCTGCAGTTCTATTCTAAACATCATTATTTACTCTTGAATTCTATTCTATATTCTATTTTCTATATTCTACAACTGTAATTCTATTCCAAACCACCTTTTCATCTGCAATTTCAGTTGAAATTGTCTCAGTATTTCTATTCCGAACTGCCTTTTCGTCTCTTTAATTCTAATCCAATCTACCTTTTTCTCTTCACAATTCTATTCTGAACTACATTTTTGTTTGTGCATTTTATTCTGAACTGCCTGTATGTCTCGGCAATTATATTTTAAATCGCCTTTCCTCAAATCTATTCCAATCCGCCTTTTCATCTCTGCAGTTTTAATCCAAACCAGTTTTTTTACCTCTGCAATTCTTTTCCAAACCGCATTTTTGTCTCAGTAGTTTTATTCCAAACTGCTTTTTCATCTCAGGAATTTTATTCTGAACTGGCTCTTCGTCTCTGCAATTCTATTCCAAGTTGCCTTTTCTTCTCAGCAATTCTATTCCAAGCTGTCTATTATTCTCTGCAGTTTTATTCCAAACAATCTTTTCATTTCTGCAATTCCATTCTGAACCATCTTTTCATCTGTGCAGTTGTATTTTGAATATCATTTTCATCTCTGCAATTATATTCTGAACATTCTTTCGTCTCTGAACTTCTATTCCAAACCGATTTTTCTTCTGCAGTTCTATCCCAACATACCTTTTCATCTCCACAGTTCTATTCCAAACTGCATTTTTGTTTCTGGAATTCAATCCCAAACTACCTTTTTATCTCCGCCATTCTATTCCATACCTTATTTTCGCCTGGAATTCTCTTCTGAACTGCCCTTTCATCTCTGGAATTTCATTCTGATCCACCCTTTTGTCTGCACAATTATATTCCAAACCACCTTTTCCTCTTTGCAATTCTATTCTGAACCTAATATTTGTCTCTAAGATTCTATTCCAAACCCCCTTTTCATTTCTATAATTCTGTTGGAAACCACCTTTTTGTCTCTGTAATTCTGCTTTTTCATGTCTGCAATTCTATTTCACACTGCTTATTCGTCTGCAATTCTATTCCAGACTACCTTCTCGCCTTTACAATTTTATTCTGAACTGTGTCTTTGTGTCTGCATTTCTGATCTGAACCACCTGTTCATGTCTGCAATTCTATTCTAAACCGCTTCCTCTGCAATTCTATTCTGAACTTATCATCTCTGGATTTTTATTCCAAACTGTCTTTCGTAACTGCAATTCTATTCCAATCCGCCTATTTGTCTCAACAATTCTGTTTTGATTTGCATTTGCAATTCTATTCGAAAACACCTTTTTATTTCTGTAATTCTATTTTGAACCATCTTTTCGTTTACGCAACTCCATTCCGAACTATCTTTTCATCTCTTTAATTCTATTCTGAAATACCTTTCTGTCTCTGTAATTCTATATGAAGTCGCATTTTCGTCTCTGCAATACTATTCCAAACCATATATTCGTCTTCCAAACCGCCTTTTCATCTGTGGATTTTATTGCAAAGTGCCTTTTCATCTGTGGAATTCTTTTACGAATTACCTTTTCGTCTCTACAATTCTACTTCAAACTACTTTTTATCTCTAAAATTCTATTTCAGACTACTTTTTTGTTCCTGTGATTCTATCCCAAACCACCTTTTCCTCCTTTTCATTTTCAAATCCATTGCGTCTCTGCAATTCTATTTCTAACCGCCTTTTCGTAACAGCAATTCCATTCCAAATTGCCTATTTGTCTCTACTATTCCATTCTGTACCGTATTATCGTCTGCAATTCTATTCAAAAACACTAATTTTTTTCTGTAATTCTATTTCGAGCCACCTTTTCGTTTATGTAATTCCATTCTGAACGATCTTTTCATCTCTGCCATTCTGTTCTAAACCACCTTTTCCTCTCTTCAATCTATTGCAAACTGCCTTTTCATCTCATTTCATGTAATTCTATTTAAAATCGCCTTTTCGTCTCTGCAATTCTATTCCGAACCACATACGTTTTCATATTTCATCTCTGGATTTTATTCCAAAGCGCTTTTTCGTCTGTGGAATTATTTTATGAATTACCTTTTCATTTCTATAAATCTACTCCAAACTCTAAACTTTTCATCTCTGGAATTCTTTTACGAATTACCTCCAAACTACTTTTTCTCTATAATTCTATTTCAAACTGCGTTTCTATCTCTTTCTATCCCAAACTACCTTTTCGTTTTTGCAATTTTATTTCAAACCGCCTCTTCGTCTCTTTAATACCATTCCGAAGTTCCTTTTCATCTTCAAATCCATTGCGAACCACCCTTTCATCTCTGCAATATTTCTAACCGTCTTTTGTCTCTGCTGTTTTATTCCGAATTGCCTTTTGAAATCGAATTGCCTTTTGAAATTCGATTCTGAACTACCTTTTCGTCTCTGCAATTCTATTCCAAACCGCCATTTTGGTTCTCCATTTCAAATCTGATTTAAAATCTGAACTGCCTTTCATCTCATAAATTCTATTCTGAACCGCCTTTTCTTCTTTGGATTTCTATATGTCTCTGCAGTATTGTTCCAGACCGTCTTATCATCTCTAGATTTCTATTCTAAACCAGCTTTTCATCTCTGCAGTTCTATTCTGACTGCTTTTTCGTCTCTGCAATTCTATTTTAAACCCCATTTCATTCACTGATTTAATCCAAACCGTTTTCTCATTGCTATAATTATATTCTGAAACACCTTTTCATCTTCACAGTAATATTTCGAACTACCTTTTTGCCTTCGTCATTCTATTCCAAACCGTTATATATATATATATATATATATATATTATATATATATATATATAATATATATATATATATATATATACACACACACACATATACATAATTCTATTCACAACTACCTTTACATCGCAATTCTATCCCATACCACGTTTTCGTCTCTACAATTTTAACTACATTTTTGTCTCTGGAATTCAATTCCAGAACACCTTTTCATCATGGCAACTATTCCAAACCACTATTTCGTCACTGAAATTTTATTCTAAAATGTTTTTTCATTTCTGAAATTCCTTTACAAATCACCTTTTCATATCTGCAATACTATTTCAAACCACCTTTTTATTTTTACAATTCTATACCAAACTGCGTTTTTGGGTCTGTATTTCAATTCCAAACCAGTTCCATTTCGAATCACCTTTTTGTCTTTGCAATACTATTCTAATGCACCTTTTAATCTTTAAATCTACTCCGAACAGCCTTTTTGTTTCCACAATTTTATTGCAAACTACCTTTTTGTCTCTGCATTTCTCTCTTGAACTGCTTTTATATTTTGTAATTTTATTCTGGTCCACCTATTGTCTCTTCTGTTCTATTCTGAATCACAATGCATATTCATCTCTGCAATTCTATTCTGATCTACCTTTTTCGTCTCTGGAATTATATTTTGAACTTTTTTATGTGCCTTTTCATCTCAGTAATTCTATTCTGAACATTCTTTTCATCTCTGGATTTCTATTCCGAAATACCTCGTCTCTAAAATTCTATTCCAAATCGCCATTTTGTCTTTAGTTAAACTGCTTTTTTCATCTCTAGAACTCTATTCTGAATTACCTTTTCATCTCTGGAATTATATTTCAAATCATCTTTTAGTCCTCTCAATTCTACTCCAAACCGCATTTTTGTCTCTTACTATTCTACTCTGAATAGCTTTTTCATTTTATTCCGCACTACTACTGCATTTTCGTCACTGCATTTCTTTTCCGAATTGTATTTTCGTCTTCGCAACTCTATTCCAACTACTTTTTCATCTTTGCTATTCTATTCTGAACAGCTTATCTCCAGTTGAATTGCTTTTTCGTCTCATGAATTCTATTCCGAATTACATTTTCGTCTCTGCATTTCTATTCCAAAACACTTTTATCTCAGCAATTCTATTAAAAATCGCCTTTTCATCTCTGCAATCCTATTCCAAACCATCCTTTCGCTTGTAATTTTATTCCGAATTCCCCTTTTGTCTCTGTAATTCTATACCAAACCACACTTTCTTCTCTGCAATTCTATTCCAAACCACCTTTCCGTTTGTAATTGTATTCCATACCACCATTATATTTTGAACCACCTTTTCACCTCTGCAATTCTACTCTCAACCACCTTTTCATTTCTGCAGTTCTATACCAAGCTCCCTTTTCATCTCTGGAATTCTACTCCAAACCAACTTCTCGTTTCTGGTATCTTATTCTAAACCACCTTTTCGTCTCTACAGTTCTATTCCGATCTGCCTTTTCATCTGCAATTTAAATTCAAACCGCCTGTTTGTCTCCACAATTCTATTCAAAACTGTTTTTTCATCTCTTCAGTTCTGTTCCGAACCTCTTAATCTCTACAATTCTATTCTGTACTGCCCTTTCATCTCCACAAGTGTATTCTAAACCGACTTTTCATCTCTGGAATTGTATTCCGAACCGCCCTTTTGGCTACACAATGCTATTCTGAACCATCTTTCGTCTGGAATTCTTTTCCAAATCGCCTTTTCGTCTCTGCAATTGTACTCTGAACCTCCTTGTCGTCTGTAATTCTATTCCAAATCACTTCTTTGTCTTTGTAATTCTATTTTGAAATACGTTTTTGTATCTGTCATTCTATTCCACACCACCTTTTTGTCTCTGCATTTCTTTTCTGAATTCCATTTTCATCTCTGGTATTCTATTCAAATCTGCCTTTTTGTCTCTGCAATTCTATTCCAAACCACCTTCAGGCGCGATGCTATGGGGGGGGGGGATGCGACACCCCCCAAAGGTCACAAATCATCATTTCACTCGGCAGAATGGAAAAAAAATTAGTTTACTCGGCAAACTTGGTGGTCGGCATAATTTAAGAAATCAATGATCATGGTTTGTAACTCTCGAAGTTTTCATTTTCATTTCAAATTGGTCCATTTCGAAACATATTAAAAAATATGGTGTGGATTTAATTTTTAAAATGTTACTGAGTAACCTTGCTCCCGACACCCCCCCATTAAAGTTTTCTAGCACCGCCCCTGACCACCTTTTCATCTCTGCAATTCTCTTCCAAACCACCTTTGTTTCTGCAATTCTGAACGACCTTTGCAATTCTGTTCTGAAATGCATTTTCATATCTGGTATTCTATTTCAATCTACTTTTTCATCTCTGCAATTCTATTCCCAAACA